GAAGAAAAAAAAGGGAGGGAGAAGGCAAGGATGGAGGGAGGGAGGAAATGCTGTAGTAGTATATTAGTTCACTAAATTCATTGGAAATGCCTGGTTAGAAGGCTCTAGTGACAGCTATGTGTTTTACCAACATCAGAGGTAGGTAAAGAAAAGGGGATGCTACTTTCCATATCCAAATTTTGAGAACTAGAAGTCTCTCCAGGGAATATAACTAGGAAAAAAAAATCCTAAGTGACACACACTTTGTTCTTTACTGCTCTCCTAAATACTGTCAAACTACTCTCCAAATAATGTACCAATTTATACCTCCACCCACACGATACGAAGGTTTTTCTATCACTACACATCATCACCTACACTGGTGTTTTCTGACATTTTATTTTCTGCTAATCTGCTGTGTGTAAAGTAGTATATTATTGTTTTTATTTTTATATCTTTGATTGCTAGTAAGGAAGATTCAACTGGAGGAGGCATGTGAGTTTCATTTTTTTTCTGAAATGATTACTTCTACATTTCCTCTACTTTTCTACAAAGGTATTTATTTATCTTTATCTTGGTGGTAAGAAATCTTTAAATAGGGCTGGAGCAACCCTACAGTGGATAGGGTTTGGCCTTGCATATGGCCAATCCAGGATTGATCCTTGGTACCCCATATGGTCCCTCAAGTCCCACCAGGAGTGATCCCTGAGTGCAGAGCCAGGAGTAAGCCCTAGTACTGCAGGTGTGCCCCCCAGGTCCTCTCCGCCCAAAACTCCTCCTCTCCAAGAAATCTTTAAATAATACTGCTAACTAGCATTTATTGTGCTCTACTTGGCACATATAATTCTCACAACCTCCCCTTTAAAGTATACAATACTTTTTTTTGGGGGGGGGATGAGAAAACCCACACCAGGGGGTACTCAGGGTCACCTGGGGGATGCTGTCAGGGGTTGAACCTGAGACTCCTGCCTGCAAAACATGTGCTTCAGTTATTTGAGCTGTCTCCCTGCCCCCACAAAGCACACACTGGTCTTATCCTCAATTTACAAATGAGGAAATTATGTCACAAAGAAGTTAAGTAGCTTGCTTTGGGCATAGTACTTATTACAACTAAGCTGAAGTTCAAACTCAGTCAGACTTGCTCCAAACTTTAACTCCAGGACCTACACAACCTATGCCCCATTTCATACATCCCAGATATTAATTCATTTCCAGCATTGTTATATTCCAGTATCCAATCATTTACTATTACTTCTCAGCCTTTCACAGGAAAAAGAAATTTTCAAGTATATTTTTAAAAGAAATGGTTAGGCCAGAGAGGTATTACCGAGGATAAGGTGTTTGCCTTGCATAAGATGGACCCTGGTTTGATCCCCAGAACCACAACACGGTACCCTGAGCAATGTCCAAAGTAGTCCCTGAGCACCTCCAGGCATGGCCCCCGAAATCCCAAAGGATTAAAAGAAGACAGTCTCAACCATTACCAAATCAAAGCTAACCTTGTTTGATCTACACTCCACCCACTTCACCCCTCCCCTATTATTTGAAGCAAATCCCACACATATCATTTTCTCTATAAACACCTTAGTATGTATCTCTACAAGACAAAAAATTCTTTTTAAATATATAACCACACAAATATTGTTCCACTGTTACATCTACAAAACAATAATGATTCTTTAGTAGTATTTTTCATCAGTAAAATACTTTGAGAAAAAAGCCTTTTTATGTAAAAATAAAGCTCTAACTTAACTGCTATATTCCTCCAGTGGTATCCTTGGGTTAATTTTACTTTCTTCTTGCAATACAAAGCCAATATTAGTAAAGTGATCCCTGTAATTTAAAAGGAGATGTGGGAAAGGGAGACCTGTAAACTGAAAAGGCAGAGCCCAGAAAATAATAAACTTCAATGTTTTTAGATCTTTCTTATCATGCGTAGTCCCAATTGTTATATGACTACCCAAAATTGTAGGGACTTCAAGGGTTTGTGGCAAAGACATTCTTCATTCAAAAGACTTCATTAACACACAGAGAGAGAGAGAGAGAGAGAGAGAGAGAAAGAGAGAGAATGGGCAAGAGATTTTCACAATTTTCCTTGTTGAACAGGCAGGTATTATTATAGCATTATAGCTATTGATTGCAGCTGGGGGTAGGGAGTCAGGCTAAGAGAGAAGGAATGAGCCAGAGAAGGCCTTTGTCTGACATCAAAGTACAATTGCTGTTAACCAGCTCCTACCCAGCTCCCCAATCTACTTGTCATTCTGAAAACCACTTTTGTCAGCTGACTTGTCATCCTGCTTCTGTATTAACTATTTCCTGACAAGGGAAATATAATTCTGCTCGGTAAACAGAAAAGCAGACTATCTTTTAATTACCTAAGCCCCTTAGTCACCAAGAATCAAATTCAGTTTTTATTTCTAACTAAAAAGAAACCAAACACTCATTGCCAAAGTTGTGCCCAAGTAGCTGCAGCCTACTGCCATTCCCGTTCTCATGGAACTGACCAAAAGGAGAGTCCCAGATCATGAACACCACCACCGTGGAACATGAACCTCATCCTGAGGAGAATTGCTACTAAAACCCATACACCGCACATAGTCAGCTCTGCTGAACTGCCCTGGTCCTTTTCAGGAAGGAGCTGGTATGTGATGAGCAGCAGCTGTCAGCTGCTCTTCTGACCCATGTCCTCCGGAGCTCTGAGACTCTGTCTGCACTGTCCAGGAGACCTGCGGGATCGGAACAAGCTCGTGATCTCTCTCTCTCTCTCTCTCTCTCTCTCTCTCATTTTTTCAGCCTGTGCTTTATGGCTAAGTAGTGTGGTTATGTCTGCTTTGAAAGGCTCAAGAAACTGGCTGCCCAGAAAATGCCACATAACACACATACTGAATAGAAAAGGAAGCATACCTCTGTTGTTAACGACACATGCACAGATCATGGTCCAAAGGGCTCACCCACAAGTTTTCCCCCTGTATAATGAATGTCTCACTGAGTTTTTCACAACTTTCCCATGCTGTCCCAGTGGAGGAGATGATCCAGTTCACACTGAGACTGCCATGGTCCTTTATCAAGAACTGATTTCAACCAAGAGTCCTTAATTATCAACAAACTTTTCAGTTATGAGTCTATAACCCAAAACACTACGGTGTCTCCATAACTTCAGTTTTAATGTCAGCAGTATCAATCAAAGGAGCATCCAGTTTGACAGTCAGTTTGTTTCCCATCACTCTACATTCCACTGCACGAGACAGAAAGTCTCTGACTGTGATACTCCCTCCTAGCTAATGAAACTCACTCACACCCTCCCTAGCAGCACCACTGTCTTCCTTCCCAATACGCATGCACACACACACACACACACACATACTCTCTATATGGAAAAGTCCACAGAGGACCCTTATCCAACAAGGTAATGAGTATTTTTGCATTTCTTTTGTTTTGATGTTTGGTTTTAGGGCCTCATCTTGTGGTGCCTGGGGTTGCCCAGAGGGCCACGTGATGTCAGGAATTGAACCCAGGGCTCCCCCAAACATTTTCTCTTGCCTCTTGAGTTATCACCCTGGTCTCATGAATATTTTTCCAATGGTCATTTTTTTTTTTCCTTTCACACTTGAGTCTTCAAACTTTAAAACAAAGTACGCTGAGATAGTCTTATCATGGGGGAGAATTTATTCCCAACAAGGACGTTTTAAGCACAGACCAACTTAAAAATTTTGTCCCACTTCAGCCTTAAACTACTGGTGATAACCAGGACATTGAGATGGTCCCCAGCCCTGCTGACAGACCTTAGGCTGTTCAAGGCTGTAACTGCCCATGATCTACACAAGGAAAATGTCCTACTCATCTTCCATCTCTTGCTGCTCTGGAATGCTAAGGTTTTTTTTTTTCTTTTCCTACTGCAGAGGCTGACATGCCCATGAAGGTGTTTTGTCACTGTTCTTTATTTTTGTTGGAGGGGATGAATTGGCAGGGAGAGGTGGAGGCCACACCTGATGGTGCTCAGGGTTTATTTCTCCTTGCACTCAGGGATCTTTCCTGATAGGGTGTGGTAGGACTTGGAGGACTACATGGGGTACCAGAGATTGAACCTGGGTATGTAAGGTGAATGCCTTACCTGTTGTATTAACTCTGCACCCCCAGTCCTCCTTGCTGTAAAAGGTTATTTCGTCCCAGGTGAACTATAACTTCATCTGACTCTACAATCAATCACACAGCTACATGCCAGACTCAGAGATATACCAGGTCTTTTTCCAGTAATGATCAGATCTCTTAAATTCTCAATTACTCCTGAACCCTAAAGACACTCAAAACATCCTCACCCCCACCATTGATAAATAGCCCACAATCAAAAACTTCTAAAGCCATAAACAAGTTCCTCAAGAACACACACACACACACACACACACACACACACACACACATACACACTTTCTAGCTGAGAACCTTTAAGCTGCCCAAAGCCCCACCTCCCTTCAAGGAATCTCAGGTACTTCTTGCCCCTCTTCTCTGAAAGTGGAATCAGGAACCAAAGGAGGAAGTCCTCTACACCAGCACATATAATGAATGGACCTCGTCATTAGTACAGTCCCCACAGAGTGGGATTGCATCAGCTCAGTTTCCAGGGGACAGCAGCAATCACATCAAAGAGAGCTGCCTCACCCCTTTCACATTCATTTTAGGGACTCAACCAGACCTCCCCACCATCCTCTTTGCCAGGAAGCTGGTCAACAGACCTTCCTGAGAGTAAATATCACCTGGCACACACCTTGAAAGATCACCCTATCAGAGAGCTCCAGCAATTAGGCTGCAAGGTTACCTAGAATCAGCGGGCATCTCCAGAGACAACAGACTTGGTTTCAAGCACCCAGAGGCAGACCTAAAATAGATTCCCTAGCCAGCAGTCTCTGACCCCGGTGCCTCTGAGATGAAGAGTCAAGATCCTCGCTGTTCACTATACTTCACCTCAAGTGTGCGAGTCTGGAATCACAACAGCTGTTTGGCTATCCTACAACATGCCCACCTACCTCCTCCACGCCCCATGATGGTGTGTGGCTTGCCTCCAAAGAGAGAGTGCCATCCTCTTCTGAGATGGAGATGGAGGTCTTTTCAGGTTCTCTATCTTTAGGATGGACTTCACATAACTGTGGCCCGTCACTGCCATAGCCAGAGGAAGAGGGCAAAATGCTCACAGTCATACCACTGACAGACAGATCACTCTGAGAAGCAATCAGTCTGGGACCCTGAGTGGGCATTCGACCCACGTGGGCAGGCTCTGGGCATCTATGGCTCCTCGACTGGTCCAGTAGTGATGAAGGAACAGAACATTCTGCAATCCAGGAACCTGTCTGAGGGGTACTTAAAATATCCTTGTTTTCTACCCCAACACTCCGGCCCTCTGAAAGTTGATTTCCGGTCTTGGTGGGAAAGTCCATCCTAGGGAAAGTGCTGCTCCGAAACCCAAGCTGTGTATTTCCTTTTTTCACTGCAGTCTCTCCCTGCAAAGGCAGCAGCACAGCCCTGCTGCTGCAGGATGCTGTCCTCGGAAATTCCACCAGTTGGCTCACTGACTTCTCACAGTTCCTTTCCGCTGGATTATCAAGCAGGTGAGCGATGACAGTCATTCCCTCTTCCAAGGAATCCCAGACCCCTCCAGCAACTGATGACTCATTCTTTAACAAAAGGTGAGCAGTCTGGATCTCCCCTTGGAATCTCTCCCTCACCTGCACGATCATCCCTTGATCTCCCACCCCTGTGTCGGGGGGCAAAGCTCCAGGCAGCGAAATGACTGGGGGGGGATGCTCTGCCCCTCCCACTCCTTCCTCCTTTCGGAGACTCACTGTTAACTTCCTTAGGGTTTCAGTCTCTTCAGTGACTCCGGTTCCTTCCAAGGGCTCTTCCTCATTAGAAACCTCTGGAGTAGGGGCTTTCTTCCCCCGCCACTTCCTTTTGAACCGAACCCTTTTCTTAGGAGATATGGGAGCCTTCTCAGGAACAGCTACGGAATCTTTTGGCTCCTTAACACAGCCCAATGAATTTCCCATCGCTTTCCTCTCCCAATCTCAGCAAAAACGCAGCTAAGCCAGTCCTGGGAGCCCAGAGAAATTCCAACCGTGGCTTCATCGGATTAGATGCACATTCAAAAACATGCACTATGCCGGCAATCCCTCCAATTCTTTCTTCCTCCCTCCCTCCCCTCCTCTCTGTCTCTTCCAGCCGCTGCGATTCAGACAGCCATCTTACAGGCTCAGAGCTGCAACAAGACAAATTCAAAGCATCTCACTGCAGTTCAGAAATCACTTGACCTAAAAGCAGACAGAAAGCGGATTGGCTGCAGCTTCCTCTCTCCAAATATGAGGTAATTGGAGCACTGCCCTCAGTAACACAAACAGAAAGCAAAAAGGAGCTGGAAACCAGGGGAGGGAAAGATTAGGGAGGGGAGAAGTGGGGGGTGGGGGGACCGACTGTAAGAGTAAATGGAAAAGGGAGGGGAAAGAGGAGAGACCAGGGGAGAAGGTAACGCAGAGGGGGGAGGAGGAAGGAGGAAACGCAAACCAGCTCCAGATATCCAGGGGCAGAATACCCAGGGGAGGGGACAAGAAAGCCACAATGATGGCCCCTACTCTGAAAGAAGACAGCTTTCAACTGTTGCATCAAGATAAAAGAAAACATCAAGCATGACGGTATGTTTTTCACAACAATTCCAGATCAGAAACAATAAAAATATTTTAATTAAATTAGAGTCTAAAGGGGGCGTGAAGTCTTAAGAGAACTGAGGAAACAAATAAATAAAATACTCCAAAGGTTACAAAGGTCTAGCCTCCTGGTGCATTTCTTTTCCTCCTCTAACAGTGCCCCCTCTCCCGCTGGCCAAAAACAAGAGAAAGATCTGTTTATTCTGCCTGCCAATGATAAGAAGGGAAATCCCTAAAACACATAAACATCTACACTGTTACCTCAAACAATGAATTAAAAAGAGAAGTGGCAGGGGAACTCAGCCTGGGGTCTAGCATACAGAAGCTAGTTAAAAGATACCACTCCCTAATACAGGAGAAGCAGCGTCTCTGCTGGCGGTGTGTGACAGAAATGTTGGGCAGGGATTACACATGTTCTTGCCACCACCACCACATGACTTTTTAGGGGTTTTTTTTTGCATTTGTTATGGGCCAAGCACTCTACTGGTTATAGGGTATACAATTCTCACAGAATTATGGGTCAAAACTATTACTTCACATTTGACAGGTAAAGAAATTTTTCTTCTTACAAGAATGATGATTAATTTGTGTCCACAGCTCGTAAGTGGCAGAGCCTGAACATGAACTCCTGAGGAAGACTTTTCATTACACCACTGTCACTCCTAACTAAAGCAGGGGCAGATGTCAGCACACTGTCAAAGCGGATGGTTCCCCACTGTGGGTGCTCCAGGCTCAGTCCTGCCTCAGTACTCAGAGATTACTCCTGGGGGGTGGGGTGGGGATTGGGGGACCATATGGGAGGCTGGGGATCAAACCCGGGTCAGTCACATGCAAGGCAAATGCCTGACCCACTCTATTACTGCTCTGGCCCAGATCCCTGCTGTTCTGGATTCACAACTATACTCAACAGGGACCAGGGGCTGGAACAAAGAGGTAGTGAAATTTACTATTTGGGAATAAAAGAAGAAGTTGCTGAAATGAGTCCAGATGGTTTTTATCCAAACTGCAGTGGGGCAGTAAGTCTGAATTTTAAGTCTAAGAAGCTAGATTAAAAAAAAAAATCACCCTGCTGAAGCTGGAGCAGTAGTCTTGCACGATCTCCTGAGCACTGCCAGGAGTAATTCCTGAGTGCAGAGCCAGAAATAACCTCTGATCATTGTCAGTTATGGCCCCAAATCCGAAAGAAAAACGAAAACAAAACAAAAAACAAAAAATCACCCTGATAGGGCTAGGGAGATGTTTCAAAGGGCTGGGTACGAGTTTCAGATTTGATCGCTGGCACTGTACAACCTCCCAAGCACCAGGGCCATGTATATCCCAGGTAGGACTCCCAGCACTGCTGAGGAAGTATAACCTCCCCCCCCCGAAAAAAAAAAACTTACTATATGACAGTGGGATCCCCCACACGGCACACGCACGCGCACGCACTGCTACAAACCAAAAGTTTTGAATTGCGCAGAAAGAGCTCTATGAAAATTTCCCCCATTACAACTGTTGTAAACCTAAACGGTCCAGACCACAGAGCAGGGAGAACCAGTCTGCCTGTCTTGATGTCAGCCATGACTACCCTCCCGAAATCCTGAAATATTCCCTCCGAAAAGGAAAGCAGTTCGAAGTCCTAAAGCAACAGCTCCTTCAGAAGGGCTTCTGCGACCCCTTCACAGCTGCAGTAGGTGTTTCCACCCAGAACCTTTTCTTCAAGGCCGACAGCAGAGCTGCAGCACCATCTGATGGCCATTATAAACCACAGCAACACTTCAGATCAGGAGATTAACATGGCAGAAACTGTCAGACAACATATAGGAACTCATTTAATCATTTCTCCAGGAATCCCTGGTTCAGTGCTCCAGCAAAGAGAATTGGAACTATGTAACTTAAGAGAAATTCCCCTCACCCCCAAGCAATTTTACTTGGATTTCTTTATTGAAATACAAACAAACCAAATTCCCGTAACTGATCAACCCAGGGGTAAAGGAAATAGCTGTTTAATCTAACGTTCTTTGAAAAAATTAACAGAAACAAGCATATTTGCTTCTGGAGGCTTTTCTTTTCTTCCGATTTTGGAGCCTCACTCAGCAGTGCTTGGGGGCTATTGCCTGTTCAGATTTCAGGGATCATTCCCGGTGGTGCTCAAGAGACCATGAAGCGCCAGGGACTGAAGCCAGGTTCTGCATACAAAGCAGGTGCTCTAGCCCTTGCAACTTTTCTCCCTGCTTCTCTTTTCTCTTCCTTTTTTAAAAACTTTTGCATATGTAGGGTAAGTCAGGTCTTCGTTTCCTTCTGTTCAAAGGAAAACTGGTCTAGGAAAGGAGCAGAGAGATTTCAGTAAGGTTTCAATTTCCAATTATGTTGATGTAGTAACTAACTACTAGGTTGATTCAGCTTCCTTATGAACTGCACATACTACCAATTTAAAGTGGGAGGGGGAAAAGAGAGGGGGGGGTGCCTTCCATAGAGGCAGGCTGGGGATGGAGGTGGGGGGTGGAGGAGTGGTAGGAGAGAAACCTGGGTATTGGTGGTGAGAAATGTACACTGTTAGAGTGTTGGAACATTGTATCACTGAAATCCAATCATGAATAGCTTCCAAACTCTGTATCTAACAGTGACACAATTAAAAATTTTTAAAAAAATTTTTTAAAGAAGCTAAAATAAATAAATTAATAAAATAAAGTGGCCTTAGCATGGGGTAGGGAAATAAAGTATAAAAAGGATATGGCCCAGTGTCTGATCTAAATCCTCCCATCCCCATCCCCTACACCCCATTTATTTTGGGAGCTAAAAGACTCTCCAGGACTGCCAGGACCCTCTCAGATAATCTTTCTTGACCAAACTCTAAGAAAAGCAGGTCTGCTGCAAGGCCCAAAGTTTGGATGCTAGTTTTTCTGTTTTCTACCCAGGAGCTCTGCTTCCACTATCTTAAGTTAAAGTGCTCATCAGGACTTTCCTCTGGATGATTTTTGCATTTGACCTGGGCTCTTGCCACATGAGCTGCCCTCTTCTGGGACTGCAGACTCCCGGGGACAGCTTGCTCTTCAGAACTTTTCCTCTCGTTTTTCTGCTTACTACCTGTAAGTGTTCCTCAGACAGAGCCGAAGGAAAAGAGCTCATTCATTCCTCAGACACAAATGGTGCGGCACTATAATGCCAACAACCAAGTACAATAAAGTGCACAAAAATGTGCATCAAGTCTAACCTCTTGTCCTGAACTCCGTGAAATTTTCTTTCAAAGTTCTGGATATAAACTAGTTTTTAAATACTTCAAGAGTTAAGAAAGAACTTTTGTCAGGTTGTTTTTGGAGGAGAGGGGTGGTCAGATTCTGACCATCAAGAATGTCATCTCTTAGAACTTATTTTTAAAACCGGCTCAAACAAAATCGAGACAAAAATTACATTTGATTGTCTGGATGTATAACCCATTTCAATCTGCTCCTCTGCACAGTTCACACAGAAAATAGACGCTGCAGTCAGCTTATTTAATCGACCTACTCACAAGTGTAGGAAGAGCAAATTTATAAACTATCTGTTCATTTAACAAGTATTTATCTTTCTGACTTTTTATTTTTGGGCCACATCTGGAGATGTTCAGGTCTTACTCCTGACTCCATGCTCAGGGATCACTCCTGGCAGTACTCAGAGGATCTTATGCAGTGCTGGGATAAAACTGGGGTTCGTCGATTGCCTCGAGCAGGTCCCAGTAATGTCTCCTTCGTCCTAGCCCTGAGATTTTTTTAAAAGTGCCATATTAAAAGCTCTTCCAGGGTTAGGAGAATGAGACTCATCATTGTTACTGGTATTTGGCATATTGGGTATACCACGGGGAGTTTGCCAGACTCTGCTCTCTAACTGGGGTTAGTCACATACAAGGTAAGCTCCTTATCTGCTGTATTATCTGTTCAGCCTCTTAACAAGCACTTACTGGGGACCTGTTCTGTGCCAGGCAAAGAAACAAACAATACTGTTAGTTAGGGTGCCCAAACTGGAATCCAGGTAAGAAACAAACATGTCAAAGTGTAGCGAGTGCTGTCTATTACAACGTATACAGGTCTTCAGAGCGCAATATGGCAAAATAACATGCAAAATCCAGCAATTCCGGTCCAGGTTTTTAACAAAGACAAAAACATTTCCTGCATGCAAAAGGACAGGCATGAGCACATAGCTATGCTCTGCAGCAACAGGGTAGGAGAGGCAGGAAAGTTGGCTCATTTTGTTTTCTTTCTTTAAAGAGAAAGAGATGGCAGAGCATTGGCAAGCTAACTGTGGAGTATTCGATATGCCAAAAACAGTAACAATAAAGGGTCTCATTCCCTTGACCCTGAAAGAGCCCCCCAAAGGCCATTGGGCTACGCTAGCATGCAACAGAGACAAATGGAGACGTTACTGGCGCCCACTTGAGCAAATCAATGAACAACGGGACAAGTGATACAAGTGAA